GTGGCCATCATGGCATAACATATGAACTTGTCAGATCACTACGTTGTACACCTGAAACTAATGTGACACTGTGTGTCAATTATACTCAAATAAAAAATGATAAAAAATAAGTGCTAAAAAAAAGAATTCCTGTCAGCCAATAGTGTCCAGTGCCTATACATATCTCTCTCATTTCCTTTTCTCTAAGTGCCTGCCTGAAATCCATTTCCACACATACCCCTGCATAGCAGTTGGAACACAAGCCTGAGTGGGTTTATCAATTTTAGTTTGTTTTTTTTTTTAAGATTTTATTTATTTATTTGATAGAGACAGCCAGAGAGGGAACAGAAGCAGGGGGAGTGGGAGAGGAAGAGGGAGAAGCTGGCTTCCCACGGAGCAGGGAGCCCGATGCGGCGCTTGATCCCAAGACCCTGGGATCATGACCTGAGCCGAAGGCAGACGCTTAACGACTGAGCCACCCAGGCGCCCCTATCAATTTTAGGTTTAACTCTGCAGTTTGCATTTTAATTACCCTCTGCCTTATTAAATATATCTTATTAAATTAAAAAATGTATTTCTAATTAGCTCTGAGCTGCTAGTCCTTCCTTAGCTTTAGTTTGTACTGTTTTTTTTTTTTTTTTTTTTTCCTCCTGGGAAAACCCTTTGAATGTCATTCAGAAAATTTAAGTATGATTGACAAATGCCTTGCATGGGGCTTGAGAGTATTAATAAAGTCACTGCTTTAGAATATACTCTCACACAAAGATATTTTTACACAAGAATTAGTGATTGAAATTTCTTTCTCTCTGTGTGAATGTATTGTATCTGTGAGAGTTTACTATGTGTACTGTCATATACATATAGCATTTAATGTAATATTCACAACTGCCTTGGAGATTTTATTTTTACTCTTCTCCTGATGAGAAAACCAAGAGTCAAAAAAGTTGCGCTCCTTTGCTCATTCATTCACTCAGTGAATTCAGCAATTTACTAATAACCGTGTGAGCTACGTCAAGGTGCTGTTTGTAATTCACTGATTCTGAGATTACTACAATGCACAAATTTGGTTTAGGTTACTGAATGCCATTTCAACCATACCCTTAAGAAATACTGTGTTCCGAGGCGCCTGGGTGGCTCAGTCGTTAAGCGTCTGCCTTCGGCTCAGGTCATGATCCCAGAGTCCTGGGATCGGGATCGCGCCCCACATCGGGCTCTCTGCTCAGCCGGGAGCCTGCTTCTCCCTCTCCCACTCCCCCTGCTTGTGTTCCCTCTCTAGCTGTCTCTCTCTCTCTGTCAAATAAATAAAATAAATCTTTAAAGAAATACTGTGTTCCATGCACTATGCATTCCAGTTTAAAATAAAGATACAGTCTATATCCCCAAAGGAATTACAGTCCTAGTATGGGGACAACAGAGCGAATCAGAAGGATGGTTAGGATTAGCCCTCCAAGTTCATCTCCTTTCTCTCCCACTCTACTGCTTCTTTTAAAAGAGACCCCTAGGCAGCATGGTGTTTGGCAGAGCACCAGACTTGAAATAGGTCTCCCTGAGGATTCCTGATATTCCCTGTCAAGGTTACAGAGGCAGAATTTGGTTGTTGCTCTTGTTAGTTATTGCTCAGACTGCAGTTAGGCAAATTAATGACATCTTCCCTATGATACCTGGTTGATTACGATCTTGCTGCCCTTCCAGGTCATCAGTGGGGTTGGCTGTGATGTGATGTATTTGTTGAAGCCAAGTGAGTTGCTCTGATGGCAGCTAACCCAGATCCTTCTACTTTCCACTGATAAGTGTCAGTTACTGTCCCATCTTAGACTCCTAGTTTGTGCCTACTCTATTTAGCTGCCTAGTAAAGAGTATGAAGAACATCAGCACCTTCAGTATGACCAACGATTCTTGCATTCAGAAGCCAAAATGCTGTTTACTGTCAGGGAATGAATGCCTAAGTGGAAGTTGCTGAATGCTGACTCAAGCACTCTCATTTTCTTGTGCATACTCCTCCATGCTCTCCCTGGTGAGCCCCCTTCTATGTGGTTGCTTTGTCTTATAAGCACACAGGAACTGAACTTCTGTGATCCTTACATTTCTTTAACTATAGGGGAAGACATGGGGGAAGAAAGAACACTAGTGCGCTGTGTTCTTATGTAGGAACAAAATCAACGAACAGTTTTGTCAAGAACCATATGCATGATATTTTATAATAATAAAAATAACAATAATAATAATGATGATGATGATGCCATTTATCCAACAGTATGACAACAGTAAAAGGTCTGTGCTCAAATTCAGTATGTTACTGCTTGATGTGGGATGAGAACAAAACAAACTATTCTGAGAAATGCTATATATAATGACGTTCAAAATTAACCTCTCTGATTCCCAGGGTTTGCTGGTGAGATGGGGAGTCCTATATGGGCTGGCTACACAATTATAAGATGTACTGCAAGTTCAGAAAGTTTGAATGTACATGTGCGGGGGTGGGGGTGCCTCCTTAGTGAGGAAGCTGGCTCATCCTTCCTGATGATATGTGCAGTGAGCTAAAATATGCAGAGGCCGGCCTAGGACGTGTCTGGTGTGGAGCAGCCCCACAAAACTGGGAGCTATTATTGTGCCAGGGGCAATACTTGGTTTCAGAAACCCGACATATGCGGTGATAATGGGAATTAAATCAGAGTCACTGGACTTTCATCAGAGTCTCTGTAATCCGGTCTCAACTTGGTAATTTCGTGATTTAGGATTTATGATCCAATTTAAACTCTCCAAAATTAAGTTCTCTTATTTTAAAATGAAGATAATACAGATTTTCTATCTCACAAGGATATTCTGTTCAAGTGAGTTGATGGATGGGCTTGGTAGTCTTTTTCTGTCTCCCATCATCAAAAAAAAAAAAAAAAATTACTGATCTAGTTTCTATCATCAGAGCTTAGTTCTGCCCCTTCTAGAACTTCATGAACATAGAATCATGCAGTATGCCCTCTTCAGGGCTGGCTTCTTTTGCTCAACACATGGTTTGTTGTAGGTGCTATTGGTTATTTTTTACTACTGAGTAGTAATCCAATCTACTAATATTCTGAGTTGGATTTACTAGTTTTCTCACATCTTGGGATGGAAATGTAGATTTTTTTTTTAACTTGACTTCTTTCTTTTTATGTAAAAAAGCATTTAGAGCCACATACTTTCTTCTAAGGTATCCTTTGGCTGTGTTCCAGAAATGCTGATCAAAGTGTTTTTATCATTATTCAATTCAAACTATTTTCTAGATTCCATTTTGATTTCTTCTTTGACCTATAGGTAATTTAGAAGTGTGTTGACTAACTTCCAAACACTTGAGGGTTTCCTAAATAATTTATTATTATTAATCCTGAACTTAATTGTGGTCAGAAAACAAAGTATAGTTCTTTATGGTATAGAATAGGGTCTTTCTTAGTGAATGTTCCATGTGTGCTTGAAAACAATGTATCTAATCTGCAGTGGTCAATCTTCTATGAAGAGTAATTAGGTTGGTTTCACTGTTTGAATATTCTATATCCTCACTGGCTTTTCCTCCCACTTGCTCCATCAGTTATGAGGGAAGATATTAAAAGTCAACTGTAACTGTCACTGCTGTATTTCTTCCCTTTTTGTTTCTGTCAGGGTTTGATTCTTGTATTTCAAATCTCTGTTTAGAAGCAAACACATTCAGTTTTGTTTTTTGTTTTTGTTTTTTTTTTTCTTCATGATGAATTGACCCTTTGTAATTTTGAGAAGTTGTTATCTTGCAATATAGCCTCTTTGTCTGATATTAATACAAAAATTCCAGGTTTTGTATACCTACTGTTTGCATGTAATATCTTTTCCCATCCTTTATTTTTAACCTGTCAGTATCTTTACTATTAAAAAAAAAAGTATCATATACAAAGTACACAGATGAGCCTTACTGTTTTGTCCAGGCTAACAATTTCTAACTTTTCATTAGAGTTGTAACTCATTTTTCTTTTAATGTAATTATGTTTCTTAAAATTTAGTCTACTAGAAATTCCTTTTTTCCTTGTTCTTCTTTGTGATTTATTCCTTTGTTTCTCTTTTCCTGTCTTATTTTGTGTTAAACTGGGATTTTTGTTGCTGGTTTGTTGTTCTTGTTTTATTATTATTATTATTATTATTATTATTATTATTATTATTATTATTTAATATTCCATCCTTTCTCTTTTATTGGCTTTGTGGCTATACCTTTTTGGTTTATTTTTATGCATCTTTAACTTATCACGGTTTACATCAAATTGCTATCATATCACTTTACATAAATTGTGGGGCCTTATACTAGTGTAATTCTATTTATCCTATATCCCATCTTTCATAGTTTTATTGACATATGTTTACTTCTATATATGTTATAAATCTCACAATACATTTTTATTTTTCCCTTAAACTGTGCATTAACTTAAGAAGTTTAGGAAAAGAAAGAAAGCTAGTCTTTTATTTTTACCCACGTATTTACCCCTTTGAGTACTCTTCATTCCTTCTTTCCTATAACTTGACAATTCTATCTTGAATCAGTTTCTTTAGATTGTAGAACTTACTTAGCAATCTTAGCAGTGGGGTCTGTAGGCAATAAATTATGTCAGCTTTTGTTTAATGAAACTATGCTTATTTTTTTTCTTCAGAACTGAAAGCTATTTTTGCTGGGTATAGAAAGCCAGGTTGATGGTGTCCTACTTTCAGCATTGGTTGGTCTCCACCATTTCTTATGAGAAGTTGGCTGTCACCCTTATTGTTTTTCAGTTGTTATCTTCAGCATTTGAGCTGGCTTTGGGTGGGTGGTAGCTCCAATGCATCTAATAGGGGTATACATTATTCTTTGAGAAACTCCCTCTGCTAAATTCAGAATTTTCATGAGAGTCAGATTCTATTTGACAAATGTGAGAACTTGAGGATTTTCTTGGAGTAACATATGCGGATTTGCAATGATGCTTTGAGCTTGGGCATGGGAATGAGATGCAATGGTATCATAGACCTCACTGAGCCTCCTTTTCTCTCTGCAGACCTTTGCAGGAAACATGAATGCTGACAGCGTGATGCACCACAAGTTACTGCATTCAGTGAGAGCCCGCTTCGTTCGCTTTGTGCCCCTAGAATGGAATCCAAGTGGAAAGATTGGCATGAGGGTGGAGGTCTATGGATGCTCCTATAGTAAGTGTATAAATGTACCCTCATGCTGGTGTGTTGTGAGCAGCCTTCCCCACATGGTACTAGTTTATCTACAATTGAGTAGAACCAGTTTGTCTCAATTGCCATTGAGATGGGAATCTCAATTGTTTTAACGTTCTTTCAAGTCTCTAATAACTTCTGCACATTTGAAAATGTAAAAAACCCTTCTGCGTAGGAATGAAGGAACTCTGTGGTGATAACATGATAAGAGCTTAACAACACAAAGTTCAAAGTTTTAAGAGCTCTTGGAGTTTGAGCATCATTGGTCCTTGAAGTAGAAGAGTAATCTGAGCTCCATTCTTTCCCAGAATTGGGGTGAGGTATTATAAATTCGCCCCTCCTTCAAAACCATGAGGAAAAAAGGTTCTCCCTCTTCACATGTTCTAGAAGAGGAGGAAAGGGAACGTTTCAACCCAGTGTAACCCAGGGAATGCTTCTTTCCTGGAATTATGCTGGCCATCCATTTGTCTGTGAGTTGTTGGTACTGAATGTAGAAGTGGTGCTTAATCTTGCAAATAAGAAAGGTTGTAAACATGGGTAGAGCTGGCAATCACTCTAGAATAAAGTAACAATTATGCAAGAAATGTAATCTTTCCTATAATTCTCCCCTATACATTTTATATTTAAATCTAAAATTGCATCAACATAAATTATTTTTCTACTTTAGCAGTGACACCTCCTGCTTATATGCCAAAACCCGGTGACTTCCAGTAAATGAACACATGTGATTGCTACCACTAAAATTAGTTCAACAAGTCCTGTTGAAGTGTCTATTTGGTTACATGCTTGTACTATTTTCTGTAATGTTGTCAACTGAATGCCTGTATCAGAATCATCTGGAGTTGTCCTTAAAAATGCATTTGCCTAGTCATGTCCTATACATCCTGGATTAGGATTCTGGGCATAGGGACCCAGAAAGCTGAGTATTTAACAAGCTCCCTATGGAAGCTATGGACACAGAGTGTCTAGTAAAAATACATTTCTGCATGGAGGGGATTTACTTGTGAAATGATTGTCTTTATCTTGAACAAGCACTTCCAGAAAGAATGTGTTAATACAACAGATACATCAACAAACCATTAGGCTAGGGAGACACTGCCTTGCACAAAGCATAGAATGTCTATGAGGGTATATGCTTCCTATCCGGGGATATCTGGCACACACAGAGTCTCTTGTTACCTCTTCTCTTGATAACAGTTGTCACTACTCTGAGGTTTATTTTTAAGTACAACGTGAAGCTTTCATGCTGAAGTTAAAAAGATTATTTATATTATAACTTCACCAATCTATTTAGGTGTAACAATCTTATTACTATTTAACTTGTCCTCATTGTTTTCTGCCAGTCCAGCCTGTTGTCCTTGCTCTTCACACACATTGTTCTGTGTGCGTGCACAGAAAGACTCAGAGCATCAAGTTAAATAGCACACTGTAGGGTGAAAGAGACCTTTGAGCAGCATGTTCAGCTTTTTCTGTTGCTGGATCCCTTTGAGAATCTGATGGCAGTAAAGGACCCTCTCTTAAGGAAAAGTGCCCACAGTAACATTTTTTATAAGTAGATTTTTCTACAATATTAGGAAGTCCACAGATCTGGTAAAGCCCAATTCTTGACCAACCTAACAGCCCCTGATTTGGAATAGCCCAGTACTACCTAGATTCCTCTCCAGGTAGACTTCTTGCCTAATGAATGCATCCCCTCAGGGGATAAGTTACCTTTTGGTACCTAGTATGAGTGATGGGATATTAGCCACCTGGGGGAGCTGCTGGACCCAGAGGTCTATGACCATCCTCAAGCCAGGACCTGGTCCTTTTCAGTCACTAGTCCCGGTGCTTTGATGCTTTTTCCTTGGGGAAAGAGGGGGGGGGGGGCGCGTCCCTCATTTCTATCTAAAAACACATCTCAGCCTGTCCTCTGGATCCCAACTCTCTTTCAACATCATCTTATCCCCCATTTCGACTGCATCATTCCTAAAAATATAAAACTTTGCTGGACAAGCTATCATACAAAGCAGCAACAACAAAAGCCCTATGGCCCTACTTAGCAGCTACTTCTCCCTCTCCACCTTTCTTTTCCTAGAATAGCTTCTCTCCAAATCTTGTCCGTGGTTACTGACTCTACCTGCTCACCTCCTGGCACTCTGCGATTGATTCTATTCAGTCTGTACACATGTGGTGTTCAGTTTAAAGTGTCAGCTTGGCTAGGCTGCAGTCTTGCTACTCAAGCAAACACGAATTTAGGTGTTTCTGTGATGTGGTGAACATCTACAATCACTGGACTTTAGGTAAAGGAGATTAGCCTTGATGTCTGGGTGAGCTGGATTCAGTCAGTTGAAAGGTTTTAAGATCAGAACTGAGGTTTCCCTGAAGAAGAAGAATTTCTACTTGTGCTGTGCAGCTTCAGCTCCTGCCAGAGTTTCTGGCCTGCCCCTCCTGACCTGACATAACAGATGAATTTTAAACTTGTTTAGCCAGCCCCCACAATTGTGTAAGCCATTCCTTGTAATATATCTATATCTGTACCTCTATCTATCATCTCTCTCTCTCTCCCTCTCTCATTTATCATCATCTATCATCTATTATCTATCTATCTATCTATCTATCTATCTCTCTATCTATCATCTATCTATCTATCTATATCTATCATCTATCATCTATCTGCATATCTATTATCTATCTATCATCTATCTATCTATCTATCTATCTATCTATCTATCTATCTATCTATCATCTATCATCCTCATCATCAACCACCTAGTCCTATTTCTCTGGGGAACCCCGACTAATGTAGAATGCCCCACAGAAACTATTTTAGTCAAGACCACCAGTGACCTCCACATCGCCAACTCCAATTGTCACTTCTAATATTTCTCCTTCACTCAACCTCTCAGTAGTATTTGGTTCAATTAGCCACTTCCACTTTTTAAAAACCTGGTTTCCCTTCTAGTTCACTGTGACCTATGCTAAATCTCAGGGCTCGGTCTCAACTTCTTTACAGTTCATAGTAGCTCAGTCAGCTCTGTCCTCCAAAACACATCCCAAATCCATGTACTTCTCCTGCTTCCAGAGCTGAAGCCTCTGTCAGTACTCACCTTCGTATTTAAATAGACTTCCAGCTGGACTTCCTGCTCCATGCCACAGTGTCCCCAGACCTATTTAACAGGCAGCAGCCAAAGTGATCTTTATAAAAAGAGATAAAATTGCATCATTCCCCTGCCTGCTTCACTTAAAATAAAATCGAAACTCCTTTCTGGCAAGTAAAGTTTCTTATTGGATGCTCCATGCCAATCTCTTCAAATTCCTTTTACTTCTTTCTGTCCTTAGAGGCTTTCTTGCTATTCCTGGAACATGCCGGGCTTTTTCTACCTTAGGGCCTTTGCACTTTCTCTTCCCTAAGCACAGAACAGCTCTTTCCAAGAATTTACATAGTTAGTTCCTTCAGCCAATGCAATTTTCTATTCTGATGCCGCCTCTTCAGAGAAGTCCTCTCTGGTCACCTCTCTAAAGTCTCCTGCCCTAGTTCCTGTGCATCAACCATCATCCCCTGGCTATGTGATGTGATTTTATTTTCTTCCTGGTGCCTATCACAAACCAGAATCATGTTCTTTTGTTTTGGCTTATTTGTTTGTTGTTTGCCTCCCCAAATCCCTGAACCAGAATATAAGTTCCATGAGAACAGGCACCTTGTCTGTTAAGTCTCAGTACCCCTTAGGCACAAATAAGTAGTTAATAAATATTTGTGGAATGAATGGATACATATATCAGTCCAATCTCAGCATGGGCAACCATGTAATTCTTCTGAAATTACTTGTTGTTAATACACCCACTGTAGTTTCTGGGGAACTGTTGTTTTTTTTTTTCCTATGGGCTTATAAATCCTTTTCTCAAAATTCCATTTGAGTATGTTGCTCAAGATTGGTAGAACTTACAGTTCTGTAATTTCTTAAGACTTCAAGTTTTAACATTTGGAAATACCTGCATATTCATTCATTCATTCATTCATTCATTCATGCATTCCCTCATTTATTCATTCAGTTCACAACTTTATTTAGCACTTAAGATATACCAAGCATGGGTTACCTGGGTGGCTCAGTAGGTTAAGCGTCTGACTTCAGCTCAGGTCATGATCCTGGGGTCCTGAGATCGAGCCCCACGTCGGGCTCCCTGCTCAGCAGAGAGTCTGCTTCTCCCTTCCTCTCTCCCTCTGCCTCTCCCCCTGCTTGTGCTATCTCTCACTCTCTCTCTCTCTCTCAAATAAATAAATAAAAGCCTAAAAAAGAAAAAAAGATACACCAAGTATCGTGCAGAGCCCTAAGGGATATAAGAAATTAACAAGGTCTTTTCCTGGACTTTTATAAGTCCTGTATTTCTTTTTTCTTTGAAGCATTTTTTTTGTGTGATTGCATATAATTAATTAATTATATAATTTTTTCTTTGACCTATGCCTTCTCCGACTAGACTAGAGTCTAGACTTCGAAAAGGCAGTCACTGTGCCTGTCAGGTATGTTGGGTATGCAGTACACTTTCAGTAAGCATTTGTTGAATGATTGATATCGCTGAGAGTCCAAGATGGGGTAACGAGCATGTAAATAAAAAATGCCAAAAAGGATTGAATGTGCCTGGTAGGAATCTTAAAAGGGAGCCAAATGGAGAGAGAGGACAAAGTAAGCAAGTGTCACTGTTGGTATCAGAAAGATTCAGGAGATATAATCTACCTCAGCGGGGTCTCAAAAGTTGAGTAGTGACTTCCCCAGCACAGAGAGGATCCCCAGGCAGTAGGAGGGGCCAGTACATAGGGAGGTAGGGGCAAGGCCTCCGGGTTTTGTTGTTTTAGTGTATAAGAGGCAATGACAGGAAAGTGGGAAATGAAGACACTTGCCTCTCTCTGCCCCAGCATTTTCTTGCGGTAGCTTAAAAAATTCATCTGGCCTGTGGGAAGGAAGGCAGTGATAGTAAGAGATAGAACTTCCTCTTTTCTTTTTTTTTTA